GTGCTGCTCAGCCCTGCCGCACACCCCCGCCACGGCTGGGCCGAAGCAGATGTTACCCCTTACCTGGTGTCAGGGAACGGCAGCACAGGGAGCCTGGCACTGCGGCATGTCTGTGTACACGCCAGCCGGGCAGGGAGCCGCGATGCCCCAGTGGCCCCCAGCCACCCCTTCCTCCTCCTCTACCTCAATGACACACGGGCTGGCCTGGCACCTCTGGCAGCAGAGCCCCGCCGGCACCGGCGTGACACGGGGACGCTGGCCCACGACCTGCCCGGCTACCTGCGGGAGCAGGGAGGTGAGAAGAGCGACTGCTCCCTGCGCCCCTTCCCTGTCAGCTTTGCCCAGCTGGGCTGGGACCACTGGATCATCGCTCCCCACCGCTACAACCCACGCTACTGCAAGGGCGCCTGTCCCCGCCTGCTCCGCTACGACTACCATGCGCCCAACCACGCCGTGGTGCAGAGTTTCGTCCATCAGCTGGTGGATGCCAACGTGCCCCGGCCCTCCTGCGTCCCCTACCGCTACAGCCCCATCAGCGTCCTCATGATCGAGCGCAACGGCGGCGTCCCCTACAAGGACGTAGGGAACAAAATGCAGAGTCCTGCACCTGCCGGTAATGGCCGCTGCCCTGGCACATCACCCCTAGGCTCTGTCTGTCCCTGCCGGATCTGGACTTTAGGGTTTGTCTTGCTCTGCCTGGCTGAGTTTGTCCCCCCTCCCCGCACGGCACTGCTCTGCGGGAGGTTTTACAATGGCAGTTTTATGTAAATTGTAGGTTTTTAAAGGCAGGAGCCTGTGCTGGGGTAGTTGCCCTGTGGCATCTGTCCTTCCTGCAGCCCCATGGCCGCTGCCTGTTTTTGGGGGTTGGGGGGGCTTGGCCCCATGCTCCCAGAGAAGAACTGGGTTCCTGGAATGGAGCATGAAGCTCTTAGGAGGTGGCTGGGGGTCTCTTGGCGGAGCTAGGGCAGGGAGGGCGAGCGGACCAGGCGTCCCCATGCTTGGCACCAAGCTGGTGTCGTCAGTATCCGATGCAAGCCTGCCCGTGGGATTCCTTCCCAGCTCACATGCACCCCATCCTGTCTAGTCCCAGCTGTGGCGGCATCTCACTGGGCTGGGAATTAGGCTGGTGGGGGAGTGGAAAGCCCCTCTCCTCCCCTGCAGTTCTGCTCTGGGAGGCTGTGAAAACTGGAGGGACCCAAGCTGCCAGCTCTGTTCCCAGTGCCGGGGGCCAGGCAGCTGCCTGCCCTGGGCCCTGCCCGCTGCTTCCTCCACCATCCCTGTCTTTCACCTCCTTGGCTTGCCCTCTAGCAGGGCTCGGGTCTCACCCTATACCAGGGGTCGGACCCCTGTCGCGGTGTCCCTCTGCCTTCTCGCACCCTTGCTGTCCCACAGGGCTCAGGCTCTGCTGGGCTCCTGGCCTGTCCCTGTTCCTGGAGGGGTCAATCCCACTCCCAGCACCCATGCCGCCTGGCTTTCCTCTTATTTATTGCTGACTGCGTAAATAAATAAATTGATGGATTTTGCTAAAGACCATCTTGGCCTGTTCTTGTTCTGTCCCTGGGGTGCAGCGGGTGCCCCCCAGGACAGGCTGGCATAGACTGTGTCACTGTGCAGCCACCCTTGTGCTTGCACTGGAGGGGGTGGGTGCTGCTCCCTGCTTTGTGCAGGGAGTAAATCCCAGCTGCTTGAAGCAGGAGCTGAGAGAAGAGGCTCCCCTGGACCATAGACCTGCCCTGAGGCAGGGGGGGCCAGATGTGGCTGCAGGCGGGTGGCGCTGGGGACAAGAGATGCCCCACATCCCTGTGTACGGGGCAGCTCCCGGGGCGCCATGGGGGCCAATGAGCTGGGTCTCCCTGGGCTGTCTGTCACTGTGGCCAAGGCATTTGGCTGCCAGGGTTATTTTGGAAATGTGTTTGCAGGCAAACCTGCCTGGGTGCGATGTCCTGTGTTTGCAAAGCTGGGGCGAAGTTCCCCTTCTTTGAGCAGCGAGGCATGGGTGGCAGCTGTAATCCTTGTCCCCAGTGCTTGATGGCACTGCCACCTGCCAGCTGGGTACTGCCTCTGCATCCTCAGCTCATGGCTCTTGCCAGGGTCTCATCTCTCGCTTGCCCTCCAGCCCCATCTGCTACTGCGGGTCCAAGCTCCATAGGGATGTTTCAGCACTTCTTCCCTCCTGTGGGCGTTTGCTGTGGGGCAGCGTGCTGCCAGCCCCCATCCCTCCCCTAGCCAGCAGCCCCAAAATTTCTCCCCCGTCCTGGCAGAGTGAGAAGCTGCTGGCCCCAGGAAAGGTCCTTTCCTGCCCCTTGTCCCCAGTTGGCCGCATCCTGGCCACCTCCAGCCAGGAGGCTGTGGGGAGGGGAAGGTCCTCTGCTTTTTTGGAAGCTCATGGACCTGACCCCAGGGGGAAGATTTTCCCTTGTCAATCATTAAGCATGCAGTGTTGACTCATCCAGGCAAGCGATGATGAAAGGCATGGGAGCTCTGCATGCTCCCAGCCCTGGGCACCACTGGATGCCAGTGCCTACTGCTGCCCCTGGCAGGGACCCACACCCCGGCTTGCTGTGGGCATCCCTTGGACCTGCTGGGCGCCTGGAGACAGATGGGCACTGCGGTTTGTCTGTCCCAGCCCTGTGTCCTCGTACACACCATGCCAGTGGGCTGTTGTGCCCGTTGGGCTGGACCCCTTCCCGGAGTACCCCCAGGCGCCGAGGCGCTGCCCCAGCAGCATGATCTCCTCTGCACT